TTGAGAACCACTGGTTTAACCTCTTGAGTACCTGGGACCACAGGTGCATACCACCATACCTGGCTCTTAATTATTAACTGTGCTCTGAAATGGGGAAAATATTTGTCAGCCTTGGTGTCACTAGTTGTCACTGTCACTAGTTGTTACGGAAAAAAGGGTTCTGTGACCAAATGTTGGAAGCAGGGCTTCCAAATGTTAAATAAGTTAAACACATTTAAACAGGGCTCTTAATTGCAGGGCTTGTCAGCATCTTCTATGTGCTGATGTGTTTGAGTCTGCAGGAGAGTAGTGGCCGGATAGAATGTACTAGGGAGTATTTACCAATCTCACTTGACTATTAAATCCCCTTTTCTGCAGAGAACCTATAAAATTTGCTTTAAAAATACCATGAGTAGTGCATTCCTTTGAAAATCTTCCATTTGTCTTTTCTTTTGGCCCTTTATTCCTTTACTCCATCTCTGGTTGGTTTTCAGTTTCCCCCAGGCTCTTAAGAAAGGCTGCACGAGTGAAAACGAGGACAGTGGTTCTGACCCCCACATACAGTGGAGAAGCAGATGCGCTCCTGCCTTCTCTGAGAACAGAGGTGTGGACCTGGGGGAAAGGGAAGGAAGGGCAGCTGGGGCATGGTGATGTTCTGCCTAGGTAAGTGCTGCCAGCATTTACTGATAGGCTTAAACAAATAACCCCTTTCCTATCACTTTTCTCCTAGAGGAAGTCTGGTCTTTTCTAGCTTCTGATTATTATGTACTATTAACTCTGATAAAGAGCCATACCTTGGTGTTGAATTTGTTCTTAACAACAAAAAACTTAAGTATCCATGGTACACTGTTCCATGTCGTCTTCGATGTATGTTCATCTTGGAGTACAGGGATGGGTGTTGGGGATAAGATTGTATTTCATTGGAACACTGGAATGGTTTAAATTTTTAACTTATGAAAACAAGCCAACTGGGTTTTTTTATTTTTTAACCCCAAAAAGTGTCACTGTCAAAATAACTATAACTCAAACAATAAACTATGTCTATTCATGTATGTCAGGGAAAAACTGGCATTTTTCTTTTATAGGAATTCTTATGATATTAACAAATTAGATATTTGTGAAGTTTGTATAAATGGGATCAAAAGCAGCAAGTGAATATAAATGTTCCTATTCTTAGCAGTGTGAAGGTAACTATGGAATTAAAAAAAATTACCTTTCCTCTAGGGTTATATTTCTTTCTTTTTTTTTGAGACAGAGTCTCACTTCATCGCCCTCAGTAGAGGTAAAGTGTCGTGGCATCATAGCTCTCAGCAACCTCAAACTCTTGGGCTCGAGCGATTCTCTTGCCTCAGCCTCCCAAGTAGCTGGGACTACAGGTGCCCACCACAATGCCTGGGTATTTTTAGAGACAGGGTCTTCCTTATGCTCCGACTGGTCTCGAACCAGTGAGCTCAGGCAAGCCATCTGCTTCAGCCTCTAGAGGGCTGGGTTTACAGGTGTGAGCCACCATGCCCAGCCTAGGGTTATATTCATATTTCACTGCATTTTAAGTCTACTTTCTGTTATAAAAAGTCATTTATAATTTTAAGATTATTAACAGATTCTGTGTTATGGGGGTTAGTAATTAATAGACATAGATTGAATTAAAACCTCTCTAAAATTACTTATGATATTTAGCTTGAACGTAAATCCATTTCTATTATAGTGTTTTCTTTTGAAGTATTTATGTTTATGTGAAATCACTTATTCTATAATTTGAGAAAGGCCATGATTTTTGCTGAAAATAGTTTGATTTATGTGTGTGTGTTTCTTTAAGGCTTCAACCGTTGTGTGTAAAATGTCTGGATGGTAAAGAAGTAATCCATCTGGAGGCGGGTAGTTACCATTCTCTTGCACTTACTGCAAAATCCCAGGTAGGAGGCAAATATTCAGCACTGATGTTGCTTTCATGAAAGGCCGGCATGACAAGATTGCATCATTTACTGAGTGTCTGTTGTCTGTCAGGCCATGATACCATATTTCATTTTAGCTTTTCAGTGTTTTGCATGGTGTTATTTCCATTTCACAGATGAGGAGAAGAGGTTAAGAGAAATTATGTCACTTGTCTAGAGTCACACATTGATAGTAGAGCTTGGATTTAAATACTAGACTTACTTAAAAGCTTTTTATACTGTGCTCTCATGTAAAAATAAACCCCCCTAGGGAGGGGGTGGGAGTTTAAAAATAAATAAATAAAACTCCCAAATTTCCAGGGTATTGGTGAATTTTTATTTGTTCTTTGAAGAAAATTTATAATACATTAAGAAAAGAAAACAAAAGACATTTTTCTTTAAAATCATGGGACCTGAAAGTGACCCCTAGCATTACTAAAAACCATGCCCATATATACAACAACGCTAAGTAAAGAAGTTGTTTTAAGTTATTCTTAAATATATTCAGGTAGTTATCCTTCATTAATACTTGTAAGAAGCCAGTGAAAGATTCTAAACCTTTTTAATATTTGATTTTATTTTACATTTCATAAACTAGGTAAGCCAAAAAACATAACCTATATAAATATTAACATTAGGAAAGAAAAGGAGAATTTATTAACACAATGAATCACTCAAGAGACTTAAAAATGAGAGACTAGGAAGATGGTCAGTTACAAAATAAACAAAAATTACTGACTTTATTATATACATATGGTAAAACAGAAAACATACATGGGGAAAAAAGCTGTTCACAATTATAGCAAAAATGTTAAGGAAATAGGAAACGCACAGAGCCAATGTGTTGCAAACTTTTAAAACTCTTCTAAAAGATCCTAAAAGAAAACAGGAATAAAGGGAGAGATTTTATTATTGGATGAGAAGTATCCATGTTGCAAAAATGTCATTTCTTTCTATAGCATTAAATCAGCACAGTGTAAATTTAGTCTATT